CCTACAGTTCTCATCCGCCTGTTAAAATATATGAGAAAATATTTGTCACATATATGAATGTCCCACATTGATCATAATAATGATCATAATAATAATAATGATAATGTTAGTAGATGATAAGGGTGATCCATCAAATTCTAAAGTCAATCTATACTATTTTTTTTCAAAATGGTGAAAATCAACACCTTCATCAATTCAGAAAATTATGTAAATAATCCTATGAAAGAAAAATATGTACACACTGACCAAATGTTGAATCACAATACAGAAACTTCATTTGTGCAGGAACCTTACCCGACATGTGGAATAAATAGCAAGTTTCTCCATCTTCTTGTCTCTCGGCCAGGCTCGCACCTGGGCCTTCTTCTGTTGTATGCGCTGAACATTGCTGACCCTTCCCGCAGCTTCTCCCCCAGTCCCAGTAGCCTGTGAACCTCCAGCTGAGGCTGAAGCTGCTACCGCCATCCCTGACACTCCCGTCGCCACGCCAGCTGCCGTCATGTTCGAAGTCTGAGGGTTTTGCTGAAGTGCAGTTCCAACAGTCCCACCACCTCCTCCTGGGGTGCCGCTGTCCCTGGATGCCATTACTATACCACAAGAACAGGAAAAATGTATAAGAAATGTGAAATTGGTAGACAGTTAAATATCACAGTATTTACTTTTGGTGAAATTTTACTATTTCTGGTATTTTCCAATGTGATTTCTTAATTTGAAAATCTTTCCTCCAATGGTATGAGATTTCTTAATTTGAAAGCCTCTCCTCCAAATGTTACAAAATTGTAGCTATGTCCCTATTCTACCAGAAATATGTAAGGGTATTAACCCCTACAATCCAAACTTTGACTGAGGGAGACAGGAATGACTTGCCACAAGTGCACAAAGCTTTCGACAGGTGATTTGACTATGTGGGTATTTAGGAAAGGGATACTGTACAGCATTATTTCTATCAATAAATGAATATGAAATGTACCATCCATGTGCCATAACTGGAAGAACACCATCTCTAGGGAAGATGCTATTTACATCAAAATTTCATTTACTTCTTTCTACAGTCTAGATTGCTTCGCTTTAATCTTTTTTTCAGCATTGGGGCTCTTGATGGGCTCAGATATCAAACTGGGATAATTACAAATATTTATTTTTCTTTTGTACCACTGAACAGCCTTAAGAATAACCCAGAATCAATGCAACACTGGAAATGCAACATTTCAAACCGTTTTCTGTCATGAAATGGCCTGTGAGCTGTCAAACCTAATGGGGGGCAACTGAAAGTCTGAAACATGATGCGCAGATTATTCTAAAGAACTATATGGATAAATCTTAAAACACATAATTGAAGTATAACAACACAAATAAGAGACTTTAAAGCATAAGTGTAACAGCAGACACTGATAATTAGCAAAATACAATTTTGACAAGCACGTAGTAACACATGAATTACTTGGGATATTGCAGTAATGAGTTATACGGTCAGTGTTTTGCTTTTCCTGGCATGCTAGACAAGAAGAGCGACTTAACTCTCAGTGGTGGTATGTGGGGGATATTTTCGCCATTTAGCAGTGAATATTAGACTGCTGCTGCTTAGCCTGTGTTGTTTCTGACTCTATTTCTTATTCTCTTTATGATGGGTGTGTTCCTTTCCCTCTGTCTCCAACCACTGCTATAAGTAACCTACACCAAGTATATCAATAATGGTAGTGTGACCTATTATTCAATATCATAAATAAAAAGAAACTTTGAAATCATCATTTATTGATAACCTATTAGGATGGTGGGACAAACTTTAAGATAACTATACAAATACAAACACTGTTCTCTATGTTTTCATATCATGAAACACAATACTTCAAGTATAATAGTCTGAGTAAGAACATGAGAGTATAACAACTATTTTAGCAGACATTTACTTCTTTTCGAACATACAAAATTAAAACATATATAAAATCTGTTAGAATAAGTTTCAGTCGAATCTACGATGTTTCAATTTAATCTCAGAACAATCTAAAAGGCTAAAAACTAAGAAAGCGAGAATGTAAACAAATAACCGAGGCTAAACCACCGAACTTCTGACAATCCCTTGACGTAAGTTTTACGCTTTGTTCGCCCAAAAGATATACTTCTCTTTAACTCCTTTGACCTCTGTGCTTACCAGTATTTGAGCTAGATGGGTCATGGTGCAGATTTTGTGTGTAGCGGCGAGGTAATCCGAGGAAAGACGAGGAAATGGGAGGACGCTGAAGGTTCTGTGACTCCGGCGTTGTTTACCTTTTCCCTTGGCCGCGTCATCTACCGGCCACACCTTCTCGCCGCCTTGGATTTATTATTTTTTACATAGCCAATGATATTAGTAATTAATAAATCGAAAGTATCAAGATTAAAGCCAGAATTGTTTCGTAATACTTTATTATATTATATTTGAGAATAGTAAGGTAAATGTAGAAGTATGCCTAATTTTAAAAGGAAGATAGGCAGGGAAGTTTCAAATTTCCCGTTTTCTATG